ATGTACTCTTTCTTTAATGGTAAAATTCGTATTGTTTTTAAAGTTTAGCACGTGCCGATTTTGCGGCTCCGTAAAGTCCGTATTGCACGGTTGTGTAGATATTTTGACGTGACTTCATTTGCGTTAAACAAACATAGTATTTATCACATACCCGTGCCGATTTTTCGACTCCGTAAAAACGGTATTGCACGACCGTGTAGATATTTTGACGTGACGCCATTTGTGTTAAACAAACATAGTGTTTATCACATACCTCTTCCCGATTTTACGATTCCGTAAAAACGGTATTGCACATACATTGTATTTTAACATGCCGCCATTTGAGTTAAACAAACATAGTGTAAAGACGCGCTAAATTTTAGCGTTACAGTATTGGCGCGTAAATGAACAAAATGTTATTTTACACTTTAAATAGTCTTTATTGTGGGTATGTTATAAAAAAATAATATGATATTCGTTTATGTTCAATACTAAATTTATTGAACTCGTGGAATAGAATAGTACCATCCTTTTCATAGGCCCGAATAACATAGTTTTATTCAACTCGTTCAATAAATTCAGTATTGAATTTACACTCATTCAATATCCTCTATGTATTAAATGAGTTGATATTTTGTAGGTAGTTTTTGAAAGTTAATACTTTAATTCTTTCTGCATAACAAGTATCTGACTATTATTTGTAATATAATACCTTATATAAATTTGTTCTTTCTTTATTCATATAAGTGTCAGCGGCCCTTTAAATCTATTATTTATTCACAACGACGTCAGCAGTCCGACCAAAAAGTAAAATTTAGCAGCCAATGTTATGATATCATTTTACATTGCTGAGTATATTACTGAATGTTTTGGAGGGGTATACAACTGTCAAACCTATCGCGTCGTCCAATATAAGTTTTTCAGACATGTACTAGTTCAATAGAATCAGTATTGTGTTCAACAATGTGTACGAAAAAATAAAAACGTGGATAACCAGAGTACAAAATAGATTTTTGAACACGAAATGTGAAAAAAGGCGAGATGGTGTATGATAGGATTTTGATATTGATTGTTTTCGATTTATGCTTCGGGAAAAATGAAAAATAATAAAAAACAAAGGGTAACAATTCAGAACCCATGAAAGGTGGGGTTATCATTCTTGCGCACTGCACTTCTCCTGCACGAGATCTATCCACTTATGAAGCTCAGTATGATACCTCGTACATATACTTTTGGTGTCATGCTCTGGAAAAATCTGAAATAGTTCTCAGCACTTGGGGTCTCATATATTGATCTCTCAGCCAATCCCGAACATTGAAAGAGCCTCAGCGTCCGGTTTCTGTCCGTTAAATATTTGCAGACTGTCTGATCGGTAATCGGAGGCCCTACGAGCTGTGTACATTTAAAAAATATATATTGATGATATCAGGAGCTCTTACACTTTGTGGTGTGATATTGCCATGAAAGAGAGTGAACAACTTTTAGTGTTGAAACATACCTTATATATATGGCTAAATAGGTCTGGTCCAATAGTATGTGTGCAAATTTTCAGATCTTTCCTTCTTCCCATTTTTTCCAGAATCATCATTTTTATTGTGCAAAATAACCTAAAAATACAAAAAAATCGGGCTAAGAAACGAACACAAAATCAAATTGAGCACATTTTTTTTTTATTATTGTTTGCCATTTGTTACACCTTAAGTGCTTCACTTGATATATGTTAGAATTTTACGTCATTATGCTTTTTGACCCCAGTGGATCTCCTTTAAAGGTCTGATTCTACTTTAAACGATGACGAAGAAACTTTTTTGTATATACGCTCGTATGCACTAGTTTAAGATAAGTCTTAAAAGGCAATTTCATAAACGAATGTAGATATTTATAATACAAAGAAAGTTCCACAATTATCATAAACGATTATTGCAAAAGAAGAGAATGCTAATGTTACTATACAGTAATGTTAAACCTTTGGTACAAGATTAATTTTAGCTTTGTTTTCCCTTATTTCGATTAATATGCTCAGTTTTCAGTACAAGTATACAGCCACATGTTCAGCATGACGTAAAGTTCAAATATATATTACACTATTTTCAATCTAGATATAATATACATGTACATGTATATACGTTTCTGTATATCGGATAAACGTTTCTATAATGAATAAAATTACCTGCAGTTCTAACATGTAAACAAGAATACGGGATAGATTTTATATAACTGTTTATTAACACGAGTACAAAATGTCTTTTTATGAAAAACAAATGGAGAGCTCAAAACAAGGGAGAAAACTCCCTTACGTATTATGTACAAAACAACTAAATGTCCATTGACCACTATAAATATAGTGGCGTAACTTCTTTTTCCTTTTCCTTGGATACAATTATGCCATCTGTTTAACCAATGGTTAATTAAAGCAACATACATCTTTAGTTAGTATTAAGCAAATTTAACATTTAAAACATGAAAAAAAAATAATGTTGAATAAATGAACTAGAATAACACGGCATTGACTAAAGAAAAATGTTCTGGTGTTATATTTAGAAATCAAGTATTAAGACAAATCATAGTCATTGAGGTATTGAGGTAAGTTGGAGGCTTTCGAGCCCTTTGTGGTCGCTCACTTGTTGTGATGCGTTGGAGTTCAACATTAGAATGACTAGAGTTTATATCATGCTCGTCAACTACTTCTGGAGAAAGGTCCATAGATAAGTCATTTTCAATTGGTTGATTTGGCGGTTCATATGCTGGACGAGACAAAGTGTCCGGAATGTTAAAAACTTCTTGTATCGCGTCTTCTTCTTTACTAATATGATCATTATCACTATCATATTTCACCTGATTTAGTAAATTGACTTGGAACTCTGTAGTACTCACTAAGTTTTATTTTGTATGATGTAGCTCTTAACTGTGAACCAAAAAATTCTTTAATGTAACACCATGGATTTTCAATAGATATAATTAGATATCTGTCGCGAGCCTTGAGCTTACTTTTCTCATGAACGATATAAACAATATCGCCAACTGATAAGTCTTGACAAGACAAGGGCTGATGTCCCTTGATTTTAGATTTTTCACTGAATGGTTGATTACGTAGGCGGTTTTCATGGTGACTTAAAATGCGAGCTCTATCCGATAAAGGTAACTGTTCATTTGTAAACTGGTTTCGTTGAGTCCAAAGTTCGCGCGATGATAAGCCACAATTTCGAATACGTAAATTCAGTCTTGCAATAACAACTGAAAGTCCTTATTCCGAAACTGGACCGCCAGAGGGATCATGGCGGAGTAGTTCATTTTCAAACTAAGGAATTGCTCTTTCTGCAACAGAGTTCTTATTTACATTTTTCGCGCAACCAATTAAAGTACAATCCCAAGTGACTTGAGTTTTTCGTCTTTCTTCTTGCAAGGCTACAAATCCTGGAGCTGCGTCACATCTGATGATAGCACTTGGACCCTCAAATCACCAGATCGAGGGAAATGAGCTATGTTATCAATATTTATTATGTTATTTTATTATTCTTATTTCCAAAGTTTATTATAATATAAGTATAATGCAAAATTTTAAAATGCATTGTTAATGGAGTCGGAATGTTTGTATCCGAATAATCATTTTCCTAATTTGAGTCCTTATTATTGTTATCTTTTTATTTATAATATACATTTGGTAAGCTAAGTAGGACGTCAAGTATGCATATCAAGTATTCAAAATATTACAAGGCAGCAGATAGATATGATCTTTTTGTGTTGATGATTTACAGTAAGGTAGCAGAGTGTTCAATGTTACACAGTATTATGAAATCATTGATATAGGTATGGAATATAGTTAACGACGGTAGTTTTCCATCAAAATCTTCATGGAAACGAATATAACATGAATATGTAATCAAACCAAAGAAAGAAGACTTGGTTAGAGCAGTCAAGTGTTAACGCAAATATTACCAATGGGGAATAACCCTTGCACATTATGGTGTATGTGTAGGAATAACCCTCGATTACTCTCCCTTTGCAAAAAACTTGTGTACATAATATCGCGTTTTGTCTCTAAAAATATATCTGAAAATGTGACAAATGTAATTGTTGATATGCTGACTTTGTGCAGCATCAAATATTCTACTGTCCTAAGAATCTAGACACTCGTAAAAAATTATGGGGAGCTGTTATTGAAAATCTTGGGTACAGCAGATACATTTCATTTATACAGTTGTTACCGTCAGACCAGAATTGTTTTTTGCTTGGCTTAGCTCTTGAAACAACAAGCCAAACCTTTAAATATTCTAAACTAGTGAAACTAGTGTGTGAATTGTTCTAACCTTAATACAGACATGTACATGAATTATGGATCGTGAAATTTAGTGCATATAACTGATAGAATTGAATTAAATTATTGACCTGTTTTTATATTGTTGCAAATAGCTTTCTTAAGTGTCTTCTTATCATGTCTTATTGTTAATAGCTATTGATACGATACTGGTACAGAGAGAATGCAAAGTATTTAACGTATAGGTCATTATGCAGACTTAATTCCTGTAATGTATCTTAATTTCGTTTTTAACAAGATCATTTAAATTAAGATCAGTCTGTACCATTTGTCATTATAATAGTGGACTAATTTTTAAGCTTGTCATTAATTTGGATTGAATTATTTACATGGTAAAATACTTATTCAAGGCTTTAATAATCGAATGGTTTATATATTTATGTTTGTGCATGCTTTATTTATAGAAGTAAAGTGTATGTTGTTAGTACATATGTAAATATAGTAAATGTGACAATGTATTTCATTGTAAATATGTTTTGCTCTCCAAATATGGAGGAAATAAAAGTACACTGTATCTATCTATCTGCAATAACAAAAATAATTGTATCAGATATCAAACAATGCACAGTCATGAAACTTTATGTTTGCAATGTCCGCTTAATAGAGTTATGGCCATTATTAATACCTAAATATAGGGTATCATGCACGAAATTGCAATATAATCATCAACATTATGTAAATTTTGTCCTACCTGGTTTTATTTAAACAGTGAAGCATTCTTGTTTGTGAGTGGCAGCTTCATACACTGCACAGTCAGATTGGAATACAAAGTTAAACAGAAAATAATATTTTTTTTTTAAATCAAGCAGGATAGAGTAGTCCAAACGAATAAAAATATAGGCTTAAATGCTAAAAATGGTTAACCAACCCGGGGACCCAGTACTAAACCTAGAGGAAGTTAACCAACCCGAGAACCCAGCACCAAAACCAAAGAAAGAAACTCTCAAAACAACTCTTAAGGTAGGCAACGTTCATGAATTAATGTATCCTTTAAAAAAAGATAATAAATGTAAATTCAGTACATGAAAAATGCCTCATAGGTTTTTATTATTTCAAAGCTAAATATGAAATGAATAACTTAGTATTAAAGGTATAGTCATTAACGACTTCAATGTTTTAAATGAAATGTACCTAAACTTATTGCACCTTGTTGATGAGAAGTTGCCTTTAAAAATGTGGGCAAAAGACTTGCAGGCACCGTTTAACACTGTGTGATCGTAAGAGGCGACTAAATGGGTGCGAATAATTGGAGTCTATGCATCTCTCAGCTTAAGCACGGAGGTGGTTGTAATCCCTGGTGTTGCTTAGAGTTACGAACCTACAAATTACCGAAGTCCAATATATTGTAACATGTTTATACCCCATACACAAATATTCATAGATCTGCAATAGCTAAGTTAACATGTCGTTTGGCACCACTACATTTTAACCTTGCCTAAAAATCAACACATTTGAACATTGGTTGTAACACTGTAGAATCGAAGTTCATATCGAGCGTTGACTTCCAAACCTGTTGTTAAGCCTACTTTATTTTACATAAGTTACTGCAGTTTGCGGACAACCCTCGATATACTTATACCATTAAAGAAATCAATTATTTGTTAAAGCAACTGATACTGAACCAATTTTCCTTTATCTCAATGACCAGGAAAATTGATAATTTTTTTCACCCACCACGTTTTGATCAGAATTTTAGCAAACATCTATTGTGGCTGATATACGGCATGTTGTATTTTCGCTTCTTCGCCTCAAAATGCAAAAATGCGAAAAGTATAACTTGTAGTCTCTTCGCATTTTCGTTTTTTTGCATAGTTACATTTTCGCATTGTTGCATTTTCGCTTTTTCGCATTGTTACATTTTCGCATTGTTGCATTTTCGCTTTTTCGCATTGTTACATTTTCGCATTGTTACATTTTCGCATTTCGCGTTCCGGTTGTACATGCGCATGGAGACATCAATTTATGATTATCAATATTATTATTATTATTATTATTATTATTATTATTATTATTATTATTATTATAAAGTTTTGTAAATGTCTGATCACAATGATATATTATTTGATAGTCCTATATAAGATATGTTGTATTCACGTAGATGTATAATTTAAAAGTATTACCCCGCTCCTTACACATGTTAAATAATCATATAATATAACGATAAGGCTTTCAGAATGTTTTGAATTAGACGGATTTGATTTTTAGAAAAGACTTAAGACTTAGAAAAGATTTAAGAGTCTAACAGAATTTTTTAGTACAAGCAAGTAGTCGACTCTTTTTACATAATTCAGGTACGCTGAATCCATTTTTTGCTCTACTACAAATAAAAATGGCCGCCATTGAGCTTCACTAATTACTTCATAATTTCTTATTTCTGGTTCTTAGCGAAAATATTTCCGTTAAACCACACGCAGTAAAGTGTCAGAGTCTCCTATGAATGATTGGCTGATAATTAAACATGATTTAATTATTGACTCCAATTGTGACCATCTTTGATTTCAAGATGGATACCCTTTTCTAAACAAATATAAGTGAAGTGCTTTTAAAGATCCTGTATGTTGTAATTAAGGTTGTTACAATATCTGTGTATTTGAGTTTATTTATACTCGCCACCGGTTGCCCATATGGGCGAGTCCTACAGAAGAGTAAAACTCATTTTAGATTTTTGGAGGATAGTGCAAGATACAAATACAGAAAGATGCCCCAGTTCCAGAAGCTTCTCCGTCCTTTAACGTGCCAAGTGTTAAAGCACTCATACATGGGATCTCGATTTTAAGTCTCATCTGAAAGACTGATTAGTAATTTTAGTTAGTCAGCCCGGGAATCGAAGTTCCACAATGTCGAGATTACAAGTCTCGCGCTCTAACCGACTGAACTATATACTTATATATGTATATAAATATGCTTATAAAACAATTTCAAACATCGAATTATATGTAAAATTTGTACTGCAATATTTGTGCACATTATATGTAATCATTAAAATATATGTATTCATTTCTTATTGAAAGTTGGCTTAGACTTTATAGAAAATAAATTTTTAATTACCTCCCTTTATTAACATGAAATGTTAAATTCGGTAATATCTTCATAAATAATGCTTTTTGGAACTTACAATATTGATAAATCTTAATTTGAGCATCATATTTATGACATAAAACCATCAAAATTTGTGTAACAAAAGGTTTCTTTATCAAAAATAAGATAATGATGATATAAGCATAAATTATGTCAGGTAGAAGTTTAGGTATACTGAATTTCATCATGCCCTCAACTTATTTTAGGTCATTCATTATGGGCAATTAATCTATGTCAGGTATCTGAGATGCCAAATGTCTAACAAAATCTGAACAATCTAATTTACCATTAGATGCTTTAGTATTTGATGTTGATAGAATAGCATGTGTGTAAACCTTTATGGACACTTTATCATGTCAAAAATCAAGTTCAGAATGCATTTTTTAAATTGCCTTTCATCTTCACAGACCAGAGACTATGTCTGTGTTCGCATGGCATTGCAACAACACTGAACAACACCGTTCAAAATAGAAAGAAAACATGCCCAAAACGGCAAAATGAAAAAGTTGCAGGTTCATAGCTCAGGCGTAAGAAGAATTCAACATTTATTATGGAAATTATAAAATTTGGAATTTAAAACCATCCGCAAATGTGTTTATACATATTTTATGTCAACCTGAGACAAAAGTAAAACATAATTTCGGTTTTTGGTTACCTTTTTTATGTATTATTTTTATAAAATGTCGTATTTATTTCAGTGAATAACTCTAAACATGCCTAGCTCTATGCACCTGCGTGGTTTAAAATCAGATCATCTATCTTAATTGAAATACTAGTAAACTTAAATAAATGCAAATGTCATTTTAAGCTTTATTATCTTTCACTTTGGAAAAAATTACTCGTAAACAGCGGTTTTTATTGTTGAACCATAAACAGCCTACGGACTTGTAATGTCTTATGCAGGCGTCACACTGTCCCGTATTTGGCATCAGATGGACAAATGAATTAGAAAATGTTCAAATTCGGATCTGATCGTAATTATGGGACATTTGCGAGGGCATCTTTTGCAATCATATGATCCCCGGCTAAATTTTTCAAGCTCCGGCAGCAACTTTGTGAGTGGTCGCAAAATGTTTGGGATGCCAAAAAATTGCCCGAAGACATAGCGAAGGTTAATTTTCGTGTTGAATTCGTATGCCAAGTTTGCTCTTGGTAAGGCCGTCGTGAAGCCATCTTGTCGAATAGTGTAGTCGTCGTCTAAACTTCGTGTGACCATCGGTGCAATCTTTAGCCTCAAGAAGAAAATACGAAGGAAACACGAAGATTCCCGATTATCTTAAGAAGGGAACACGACTACGTAAAGCCCCCGAAATGCCGTTGTGTCGCCATCGTATTTTGGCACGATGTCATCCCGGTGGGACAACGATGAGTACGAAGAAAGCAAATTTGAGTGGCTCAAGCGTTGTATGTTTATCATGGTGGACATATAAACGGTTAGACCATCTTCCTCAACTGTCAGTCTTGCACATCTCTACAGAGACATCAAAAGCTTTCATTAAATTGCAATTACTTAACAATTATTTTCAATTTATTTCCTGCAAAATTACATGCTTTAATGATGAGTCAACAGAGAAAAGGGAGGCAGCAGCATTGCTACTTTTGATGCACCTAAGAAAACATGATGAGCAACTCCTAGAGGCCCACGTTGGGTTGTAAAAACTTCAATCAAATATGATAAACCATATCAATAAGGAACGCGGCGTTCAGGGAACGCAGCCCCACACGACCCAGCAACAAGAACCAGCGGCAAAATAGAGAGAAATAAGAATCCCTAAAGAAAATATGATAAACAAGATCATCAAGCCCAACACGGCAAAACTGAAAATGTTGCGGACTCGGTTGGATTGAGCCTGTTCATGGACGGTACTGTCAAGTGCAAAGTACCGTCCACGCCCCATAGTACCGGCTTTAGATGAACATGAACATGTAAAATTTGGAATTTTGAAACATCCGCAACCATGTTCCTATAAACGAGACGGTGTAAATAAAATGAATCCACGCCAAGTGAAATTATTAAAAAAATGGGTATGGTTTCAAAAGCTCAAACACTGAAATGATCATGTAGAAACATATAAAGGAATAACCATATGACCATAAACAAAGTACTAAATATCTTAAAGGAAGACAGAGTAACAAAAAATCACCTACAAGGGCCCGACGAAGGAAGACAGAAGACAAACATTAAGGCTATTCAGTCCAAAAGGGCTTTAAGAACTGTCCATCATTGGGTTTCCCACTTGGTCCATCAGACGTAATAAAAAGAGTAAAGGTCCAACTGTAAATGTGTTGATAACTAAGCATGCGGTATATCTAAAAAGTAGGGTCAAAACCTCTTTTAGTAAAACGTTAAATAATTTTAGTAAAGACAACAGAAAAATTACAATGACCCAAGATCTTACGAAGTTTGTAAATTACATCTCCATAAAAATCATCTCTAAATTACTATTGAATTTTGAGATTAAATCAAATTTTGTAAAATATTTACGAAATTTATAATAGCGGTAGCCATGTTTGAGTAGCTTGCTAGTAATGAAAATATTTCGCTCGTTAAAATCCTTCACGTTGCTACAAGCTCTAGCGAATCTTATTCACAGAGATACATATACCCCGTCATATGTAGCATGCAGTACGTCTCCATCTAAATGTGGATAATTTACTATACCATAATCAAGGTCATCTCTTTTATCATAGATTTTCGTGTGAATAGAATTGTTTTTTTTAAATTTTAATATGAAGATCTTAAATAAAGTTAAACCGTAGTTTAGCTCCCAAAACTATCTGCAACTGAAATTAGCCGCGATTGGCCGTCGATTGTATTGTATTTGAAGGTCAGTTGACGCCTTCGTAACTACATACGAAGGCATCGTACTCAAAATACGACG